CCTAACCCCTAGCTCCAACCCATAACCCCTAACCCTGACAACTCGAAGGTTAGGAGGAAACGACAAACACCGAGACGACGTAATTACGTCTACTCAAAGCCAATCAGTAGCTCAACAGTATTATGTCCTGTACGCATGGCTGGACAATCAGATCTTTCCATGGTTTAAGTTTATCTCATATCCTTTTACCTCCACAACGTGCCCGTGGGAGTGTACAGCATGATTCAGATAGCCTTTTTCCAACTATCTTGTCGTGATCGGTCAGGACTGTCACGAAGTCAGCGTGAAGATCTGAGGGCTTTTATGCCAAGCCAATGGTTGCGACTACCCTCCTTGTGCCAGAAAGCCCATTCTGCATCAATGAGTCACAGGTGTGAACATCACTCATCACAATTTTGGCCTCTCCTTCCGCTGCATGTTTTCTCTCACCATCACAGGAAGTCTGGAAAACAAACCTAACTGTTGCCATAACTGCAGATTGCGTGGCTTACTGAACGACCACTGCGTAAATGTATTAGTCAAGCGTATGCAGGCTCTTTTTTCAAGCGTCACATCAGTTTCCAAAGCTACTCAGAATAAACTGGAACTAAAGCCCACATGTGGTCACTTTTGATAGAAACCCTGGGAGACAGAGTAGGGGATTCTAACTGCCCTGTGTGCCGTCCGATGCGTTTGCTTTCCGGATAAAATTTAGACAGTTTTGCTTAACTCGCTCCGGTTTTTGCGTAAGAGGGTGAAGCATAAAAAATTTTGCCCGAATGGAATGGCTATTTCTGGTTTGTTAGCGGTCATTAATTAGCCATATCCAACCCCGAGGTGTTGACTAAAAGTCCAGCGCCCTAACTACTGAGCCACGGGCTTGTTGTCCCGTCGGTTGCGATCAGGTATATACAATGGTAGCGGGACGCTCACGGACCGCGTTACGGAACCCACTCGTCAAGCTGCGCCTTGGGGCTCTCTCTCTCGAGTCCCCCCTTGCCCTCAGCGGTAATGCCACTATGCCTATGTTATACACCACTATAGGCTGTTGGTGGGGCTTAGGAGAGAGCCTCCAGGCACAAAGTGATGAGCGAGTTACGTAACGCGCCCCTATACCAACGTTTGGCCCGAACAAGCCTTTATCACAAAGTGGTTTAATATTATATTAGATAATGAGAATTGCCAGAAAGTGCCTGCTCTGCGACAGTTTGACCCTTACAAACAAAAATGTCCGCCGTATGCATCACAGCGTGACGGGCGCAGGACGGTAAATTCGTTCACAGTGGCACCAGATTTGTGCGACATCCACCACAATCTCTCCTCCGCCCACAGCTAGACCCGATGTCAAGACAGAGCCAAGAAAACCGGACACGGACTGGCAGAACTAAGTGAGTCACACACATGGCCTGGTCTCCACACAATGCACGAGGTTTTCACGAAATGGGTGGGCGGCTGGGATCCCATGTGCGTGAGAGTGCCACAGAGAAGGAATCATTGAGCCCAATCCCAAGTTCGACAGCCAGTCGCCGCGTATACGCACCCAGTACTGGCCACGCGAACCAAGTTACCCAGCCAGCTGACGGTCTCTCAAGCCTCTCTGACGTTTATCAGATCTGGTGCAATTGCGAACAAAGCAACTACGTCCGAGAAGCCGGAAGACAGCTCCGAACGCGAATGGCCGAACACGCCGCAGCGGTGCGGATAAATGACGCCAGCTCTTAAGTTGCGGCTCATTCGACGAGATCCGGTCACACATTCAAATTCGATGAGGCCAAAATTCTCGCTAGAGTTGACAACCGCGTGAGCCGGGAGCTGCCTGAATCATGGTTTACTGACCCCCAATCCATTAACAAGTGCAATGACCTTCCCATTCCATACTCGGTGCTGAGACTTCGCCTAGGCGGAGTAATTAGCCATGCGGGGAGCGCACATGTGAACACTTTTCCCAACGTCAGGGTCGGTGGGTCAGATGGTCGAGCAATCATCACACCAACATTCAACGCACGTGATGAAATTGTGAGAATTAACGAATGTCGGCCATCAAATTGCCAGCACACCAATTGCAACGATTCCTGATGAAGGGGGAGCCGTGAACATTCATAGGTATGCGGTAGCATGACGACTGCATCCTATAAATACTGCAGCCCCTTATGCATGAACCGCCCGTATCTGCCTTTGTCTCTGATGATGGGTTCAAGCAGGAACCCGAAACGTCAGGCTAATAAAGCTCTTGTCCCAGCGATCGTGCCTTCTTCTTAAAGACACCTAGTACTGACTACGCGAACCAAGTTACCCAGCCAGCTGGCGGCCTCTCAAGCCAGAATTGTTAGCGCGTTGTGATAGGGTCAAGCATGTCGAACTTGCAAATGCGAAGTGCGTGTCGCTGCGCCGTGGGGTGGGTTCCCAGTGTCGACCTCAGTCTCTCTTCCCTCGTCCAGACACTAGCCAACTGTCCGAGACTGTCAGCCGCCTGGTGGAGGGATTGGCCGTTCTATCATTATAAGATCGCCCACATTGCGATGCCAGTACTTGAAGCCTCAGACTTGCAACACACCGTCAATTGATGCTACTATTCAGATTTTCAAGTTCCGCCTCATGTAACGTATCTCGCACCTGCTCAACGGTCTCCTTTAGTTGATTCATCAACAAATATATTCGACAAATGTGAGATACAATCGCGGATAGTAGTTGTCCTAAATTCTCAAAAAAATTGAGATTAATAGATGTTTTGGCGGATTTTAAATAATTCATATTGACCCAATTGTGAAAAACTCGGCGCCTCGGTGGGATTCGAACCCACTCAGTAAGGGGAAGGCTTTAGTACAGCCAACGCTCTAACCACTTGAGCTACGAGACCCAGCCGGACGACGCGTGTTTAATCACATTTGGGTCAAGTTACCCGCCCAACCTACTGCAACGTCTGGAATCCACCAAATCTGATACAGTAATTTGACTGCCCAAGCAGGATTTCCTATGTAACTTAGTAATTGAATTGAGATTGGTGCCGAGAGATGGCCAGGTCTCCGTAGCCGCTTGTTTGAATCTTAGCCAAGCGTTTTGTCCTCTCGGCCATGTGTGCGATGCGACTGTCTTGTTGAAATATCACAGGGTTACTGCTGTACTGGCTCGTGGGGGAAATAAACTTAATAGAAATAGACTGAATGTATGCCTGACTGTAAAAAAGCCGAATGCTGATTTTTGCTTGAGACAAATACTCCTCAGATCATCAAACTGCCACCTCCAGAAGGTCGACAGCCGCAGGTATGGGGTACTTTATGTCTGTCGTGCCAACAATAGTTCCAACCGTTCTGACCATCCAGTCTGAATTTCGTTTCACAGAAAAAATCCATCGTCGAAATCACTCCTCGTTCAAAATCCGTCGGCTTAACTCACTCAGGTATTCATAAACGATGAAAAATGCCTGACGTCTCTGACCCCACACACACACATCGACAGGGAGTGAGGAGGACAGGGGACAGTGTGACAGAACGGCGGAGAGCAAGGAGGTGCGGACTGCCACAAACTTCTTCGGCTTTGGGGATAAATCGATTTTTGACTGCTGTTCACCTGGTTCTCTGCGTCCTGAATACTACTCAGCGTTCGCAGGATGTCACATTCCGGGACCAGCCGCAAAGAAGTGCCGACATATCAGACGGTTTTATAACTGCGAAACAGTCATCTTTCGAATATTCTTTTGCTAGATCTTATATATTGAAGCATTTCGGTACAAAAGCTGTCTCACGCTAAAGATTTCACACTATGCAATCCCAGGCAGGAAATTGGACCGATTTGTGCAGAAACCATCGAGGTTTTAGTCAAAAAACAAGCGACCTTGCAATCCTGAGGCAGACTGCACGCGGTCTATCATCTCCCACAAAGCCCTTAGATATTATATTAGACCATCCTTAGAATTTAACTCATTATCATGGTATGAGAAATAAAACTACGCTTGCTACCGAAAATATTCTCATTACACAAGGACCCAAGGACTCCATGTTCGTTCGGGTGCTTCAAATGAACTTGTTTTGCCCACCTTTTTGAAACGTCATTATGATGGAAAACTGGGGGCTAACTGAGAGACTGTGATCTCCGCATTTACGGAATGCAGCTGCGAAAACCGGTGAAACTTATTTGTGGGTCTTAATTTGGCACCTATGTTAGGAGGCTGGTACAGAAGACTTCTCCTCAGCTGTCCGGATCACAAATAAAAGTCAGCAACTGCTGAAGGAGAAGTACGGGAACATGATGCTGTACATGAAAGCCTGTCGAAGCCGCCACGTTTCTATCGTAACTACAGTTGCTGCCGATGGGCTTCTAGTAATATCACACTTGTGCGGAAACAGTGGAGTTTGGTGTACTCATGTGGCAGCCGCGGTTCTTCTTGAGCATTTCGATACTTGTTGACATTACGATGTCCTCTGGCTGATTGAATAAAACTAGGCCGTGTTGTTTATATACCACATAAGTGATTATTCATGGTGTCTACTGCCTGAGCTTAATAAGGGTATCTGAAAGACCTGTTACTCTGGAAAAAAACCTTTTTCTTGCTACTTCTAAACCATCTCCTAGCCCCTGTTGGGGCCCGCCTCCTTGCTGTTCTGACGTCGCCTGCGCGCACTCTTAACCCTGTGAAATCGTGGCGTCCATCTAAGTCACACGTGGTGTTTTAAGTTCATTGATCGCCTTTAGCGGAGTGACACAGTTTAACTGCTTCCCCAGCCAGGACAACCTCGGCATGGGGGATGGTCCGAATACTAAGGCGACGCCCATTCTAACCCAGTATGGCATGCAAAACCAAATGAGCCTTTCTATACCAACGAAGTTTGACGTCGATAGTAGCACAGACACCGATCTGGCCATGGCGGAGGCAGAGGCGGAACGAGCCCTCAAACTCTCGCGACGACCCAGATCCGAAAGTAGTAGGCGTATCAGACGGTGGTCGAAGGCGCTGGCACCACCAAAACCGCCGCCCAAGGCGACAGGCCGTTTTCGCTCGCGATCCAAGTCTAGGCCCGTACCTCCTGCCGAACCCAAGGATGCTTTCACTAGACTGTCCGCAGATCCCGTGTTGCCCTTCACCGGACCCACTCAGCCAGATGTGACTTCTGTTCGGGATCTGGACAATGCCAGTCCGCTTACTCTCGGGCTGTGCCAGCAGTTTCCATGCCATTATTGCATATTTGTCTACAGTCGTCCGAGCGATGTACGTTGAGTGATGTCTCTTTAGTTATACTGTCCACAAAGATTGAAATTTTCTACTGTTGACTATGCGAAATCATGCGGACCATCGACTTTCCGGCACATTTTAAAATACGAGAAAAAAAGGCAGGAATTCGCGGAGATTACTTAGCAATAATGTTCTAAAGTGTAGTACAAAAGCGTACAGCAATTGCTCGTATTCGGTTTTGAAGTCAGAATATTTCGGCGAACGCCAGCCGCATGTCTGTTTGCACATTCCAGGTCCCAACTAGAGAGCCATAGCTAAATTTCAAAGACCGTTAACCATCCAAAAGCAGCTTTAGTTTGCAGGCCATCTCGGACTCTGGTTCGAATATAGTTGACCAATTGCTGATGGCAAAGCTGTATTTAGCTTTACCATCGTCTCACTAAGCGCTTGCGCTGAGCTCGGAAACTGATGAAACATACAGCTTACCCCTTAAAGGTTTTTTAACAAACAAGATTAAATTGATCTCATGTACGGAGCATGCTCTCACATCTATCCCCAAGTTGAGCTATGCTTATGGACTCGCAGCTCGGGTTTCTAAAGGCGCGAGTGAGGAGAGCAACACTTCACGGCTTACATTCCTGACCTCATGTAGTGCTTTTCGCAAACCATACGGTTACATGCATTTACAATTTTGTATCGTATAAAATTCGCACTGCAGAAGTCCTCTTAGAAAGCATTTATTTCTGTTTGATAGCGTCCAAGGACGTGCCGAAATGTGCAGTGCTGCTAATCGACTTATACCATGTGGCAACAGTTGTGACACCTACTCTAAATCCTCCATCCGCTTCTGCCCCGCCAGGTGGATAGCGACACATTTCCGTTCCGACGGAATGAATTCATCGCTCAGATCAACGACGCACCGGACGATGAGGCTCGCAGAATGATTCTGGACAGTCAGGAATACCGCGACGCCATACGTGACCGACGTGTAGTCTACATCGAAATTAACACCAGCTGTAGAATTCGTCTGGGTGAGCTGGAGGGTAGAAAGTCCCTGAAGAAGGGTCTACCACGTCGAAGACTCACCGTTGCCGGACCCACCTTCTCGCATATTTGTGTTGCAGTCCAGTTGCTGGAGCACATGTTTCCCCGACTGATGCAGTACGCCCTCTACCCCTATCGTCTACCACCTCCGGCATCGGCCAACTACACCTCGAGGGAGAAGCTCACTGTCAATTACAGTGACTATGTGACTAGGCAGCCTGCCTGGCTTGGTCTCGTTCCGGACATCCATGAACGCGGTAGCTGGCGTAAGTTCTAATTCTAAGGTATAGGAAAGGAGACTGTTAGAAATGTCCCCCTACACACGCAAACATGAAGCGGAAGTGACTGTACCTATCAAATTGTCTGCGTGTGATGCATCCCAGTATAACAGGTCTGGGTTGTGAGGATTCCTGCCAACAACACAATTCGCCCACAAGGTCTGCCAATACGCTCAACGTGGTGATTACTGGTTTTTGAACTCTTTTGCAGCTTCCATATCCATCGTGTTCCAATGACAAGTGTGGTTCAGGAGGACGGGGGGATAATGGCGAGCGGAGTGTTTAACCAGGCATCTTTCCTTTCGTTTTTCTTGAAATAAGCGCGCTTGTCCCTCACTACATACCAACCCAACATCATAAACCCGGACCCCACATCGGCGAGATCTGCCAAGAGGCGACACAAAGGTGACATTGTAGCCTGACCGTTGGTCCGGAGAACAGAGTCATGCCGACAGTCGACAACCTTCCAAGCCAAAATACTAGGTGCGTGCAGCTGACTTAAATGCACACCAGTTAGGTTTCCAAAGGGAAGCATGGTTGGAGTGGGGTGATATGATCGCGAGGAGACAACAACCTATTGAGATACGACGGGTCAACAAACGAAGGTTCCTAGATAAAAAGTCATTAAGGAGGGAGCCACCGGACAAGCTCCTTTTACCGAGGCGAAAACGCGTACATGCATCCCAGCAAGCAGTGGCAGCAAATCGTCTCTTCAGGCGTTTGTGCGCGTGTCCACTATTGAAATTCCTAGTCCCGAACGCGTGTGCGCCATCTGTCCCGTCTGAGCAGTGTCCACTTGTGGCCAATCAGCGAGGGGTGCGGCGTTGATTGGTCTAGAGCTCTCGCCAGGCTAGTACCAAGTCATGCGCGGCCCCAGCGCGAAATAACAGAGAGCGTGGGGGCAAACGGAAGACAAAGTGAGTAAGCCAGCGAGAAGGCTATGAGCTGACGGGGCGACTTGGTCCTCCTCAGGACTGAAGGTCAGACAACAATGGTTCCTTAGTGTGACCTTCATGGCATTTTCAGCTATGAGAGATCCGTGTCACCATTATTGTAGGCCAGCAAAGCTGGAGCTTTGACACGGTCGTGTGCGTGGCACGCACAGACGGGTTGATAGACCACTAAGACAAAATGGCACCTGAAATGAACCAAACAATTGGTGAAGTACTGAAGTCATTTTCATATACTCGAGCCGTCACTCTCCACACCTGACCACGGACTTTATCTTGTCGTACCTGCAGGTGCACCCAGCTACGTGTTCTCTCCGACGCAACGACGCACCGCACGATGAGACTCATGGAGCGCTTCTGGACAACCCGGAGCACAGCTCGTCATACGTGACCGACGTGTAATATACATTGGAATTAACACCGGGTGTAGAGTTCGCCTGGGTGAGCTGAAGGGCAGAAAGTCCCTGAAGAAGAGACTGTTCCGTCTGAAACTCATCATTGTCGGACCCACCTCGTACACCTGCATTGCCGTTCAGCTGCTGTACCCCCGCCACCATCTTCCGCCCCCCGGCTTCAGCTAACTACATCTCGCTGGACAGGCTTACAGCCAACACAGTGACTATTTTGAGATGAAGTCAAGCCTTCCGACTGCTTTAGTGAGCTTCTTCGTCAGCTCCATTTTTGGCTGCAGCTTTCGAAATATGCAATTATCTTACATCGTTGCAGCGTGGCTGCGTTCTGTCTTTTTTAAAATCCGCCGATAGTAGTGATGGGACGATACTGTTCGTCCTAAGCAATGGGTGTTATTTATCGACAGCGTGTCTTAGTCACGAGGCCGACTGTCGGAACTGCTGTTTGCAGAGGCGTTGGTTTTAGAAAGGTAGACTACAAGTACTGACCTTGAGCGATATGCGCATCCAGACCGTAATGCCGATCTCACAGACTGTTACATCAAGCTGCTGGTTACAGTAACGACGGTAAAACCAGTTCAAGCAGTCTTTGATGATACCCAAGCTGTCGGCTCCCCACTAAAAACACAACTGCTTAAAATTATTTAGTTACCAGTTCCCTGTGCAGAGGCCATGACTTTTGGAATCGATTGTGTGCCTCGGTCCAAAGGTTCTCACGAGTCCCCCCCCCCACGCTGCGCGGACTCTGCACTCGGTCAATTTTTTGCTTTCGGAGAGCAGAGGTCCTGTGAGAGAACACACGTCTAACTGATGGTTCTTTTGACTAGCTCCGCATATTCGAATGCTGACCTAGTGCAGTGCTGCAGCCGATGCAATTTCGATAGCGCGTTTATTGATGTAGTTAGTTGTGTTCAACACTTTCATTGATGAATAAATCTTCAGGTGATCGGTAGAGGGTGTGAGTGCGGTGAGTCAGCACTGTTTAAATCCCCCTTTTTAGGTCCCTCTACCCTGAGTGACAAAAAGTGCCTCCCCAGATCGAGCGGTCTGAATAGCCAGACCAGTATGAAAATTCCGAGTATTGCATTGTCCGCAGGACTTGCGCTCTAATGGCCAGTTCTCCCTTCCAAATCCTGTTTATTATCCGGTGGGAACCCTCCTCAAGTTGACTAGACGTGGAGCTTGGCCCAATGGGTTGGCCGGAGTTATTCTGCTGCGCCTAGCACATCTTCGTGATAGCATGGGTGGAGGCTGTGCATCCGGTGGGGTTAGGGTGTGATCACCTTGTGGAGTACGCCCTTTAGAGCAGCTGTCCCTGGGTTGACACCCTCAGTGACTTGATAGGTATGAGGACACAATCCTGGCACATGGCGGTCAGATCTGACCATACCGGCCGTCCACAGCCTCCTCAGATAAAAGTCTAATGAACTCTCAGCCATCACTGCTTTCACCTTCATACGCAGACAATCGGTCTGGAAAATAGAGAATCTGGACGCGGGCGGAGAAATTACACCGCCAGCACGCCCCTCTCTCTCTCCTCTCCAAAGCGAGTTCCTTGTCTTTCTTGAGTGAACCATGATAACGTAAACGGTAACGGCGCGCGCATCAGGAGTCCTGAGAAGCATCGACTTCGCTCTCCAAATTACCGTCACGTCGCAATGACGAGGTTGAGTAAAAACGAACAAAGAAGACGCTGTGTTCTGGACTGATTCCTATCCGCAGTTAAAGCGGACTTGGGCAAAGTACTCATTTCCGTGCGAGTATGCTAGCTGCAATACAGGAATCCTTCGTTACCCTTAAACAGGCCACACTGTCGCCTCGAGCACAAAGGGGTGCCACGGAGACGTTTGGTGTATACTAGACAGAGGCTATACGCCACGCCAACCAATGTGTCCAACCCTATCTTAAGTCGGCCTGATCAGAGATTTCCGTTGATAAATAATACAGGAAGAGAGGTTTTCCTCACTATAGGCAATCCACACGCCTTAAAATATAATTGCTTCGTGGCTTGGACGGCTGCCAGCCGACGGAAGAGGTGGATCCTCCTTCGGACGGGGGGGAGTTAAGTTGGGCTACCGCCTTCCCAGAGTGAACTTCATTTACATGAGCCCCAAGGCTCTCCCACTGAAGTCTGGTTAGCGTGTGAGAGCCGCCACGTGAGCGGTACACGTAGGCCCTCTCAGACAATGAGCCCACACCAACACTCAGCCGTCTCCACCTCGTCATTCGCACATAGCTGGTGGGAACCGAGTGGGACGACGGGTTTCGTGAACTTTTATCAACAAAACCCAATTCACGCGCAATTCAGACCCGCGCCTTCCGTACGGTGATAGTTCTCGTCGATTGCAAAGGACGAACTACACAACTGGCCCGGTAGCGTCCTTCGCTTCATGGAGTTTATTTATCCCCACCACCTGTGCCCCATTAGCCAAAAACAAGGAAAAAACGAGAACATGTAGCTGCTTTATCAAAGAAAACCAACTGTATGCAAAGAAAGACAAATGGGGCGGGGGACGACTTCTTCTCAGATGACCAGTAAAAAACATGCGTGTCCAAAGAACATGAAAAACCCAACTTTCTTCCTATATATTACATAGAAATAGGCCCAGTGTGGCCAGTAGTATCCCCACGACACCTAGGAGGATGATGAAAACTGGGACAATAGGCAAGATACCCAAAGTGCCAATCTTCTCTCCAAAGAAATACGCAGAAGTCAGTGCGGAGGCGATCAATGAGATCGCATTGGAGACCGGCACACTGTTTGAAAGACCTACGGTGAAAAAAGGTCAGAATACCGCAGGGTTAGGCAGATGTCTACTTGCGTCTTTCAGATTATACAAAAAGACGACCGATCCCAGCTGGTTCAGGGCGAACATCACCCCAGTGGTCTAGAGAGTGGATGGGGCTAGAGTGGGAAAGCTTTACAAACAGAAGAGTACCAGCTTGGTGTTGGAGTACTTCATTAACACGTTGGTCACACCCCAGAGCAAACCAACGAAAATATTTGTAACCAGGACCGACATTGATCACGGTACTGAGAAAAGGAACATCAGGGTCAACAACGGTGTCAAGTAAAATCCGGGTGGCTGATAAAGAGACAGGTAGGTCCACCCACGCGCTCAAGAAGTAAAATGAGCTCGATCTCAGGTAAGCATAAAAACTCGTTGGTTACTTAAGGTGTGAGTGGGGAAAAGATTGCGCTGTCCTTTTAACGAGATAACTCTCGAAATGTAAGTGAAGGCTAACTTGAGAATGTGAGTACAAAAATGTATTTGTCTGATTTTCTGGATTCACTCTCGAAAGCGTCCTCCAAAACAGGGGTAACAGATGCGAACGGGGTGGAGTACGTACGGGGAATTCAGTTGCTGGGCGACCACGCCCCTGCTGAAGTAGGGAACTCCCCGCAGTAACTGCAAATATCACGGTATTTCACAGGCAGCAAGGCATTCAGATAGAGCAGAATCTCTCTTTGATACTTTAAAATCGATCAGATGATACTCTGCATGGCTAATATATAATAAGATACCATAGGCAGAATAGCATTACCGACAAAGACAAGGGAGACTGGAATGGCCATTTCTGGCTTATTAGCCGTCGTCAGCCAGCCATACTTCTAAACCAACAGGTCGCGAGTTCGAGGCTCGGGTGTTCCACACTTCGGGCTTGGGTATGGCTGGCTGACGACGGCTAATAAGCCAGAAATGGCCATTCCAGTCTCCCTTGTCTTTGTCGGTAATGCTATTCTGCCTATATATCATGCGCCGCTGTGCGGCTGCTGGTTGGGCTCGAGAGAGAGCCCTTAAGGCACAACGGAACGAGTCAGTTCCGTATGAACGATCGGTGAGCGCCCCCTAACATCATAATAAGATACCATAAATACTATATTATTACATATTACATTATATAATATTATATTGTGAATATGTATTATAAAAAGCATGGTAAATCCTTGATTCCACATTAACAGAAAACCATTAAGTTTCTTCTGGAAATTCAAAACCGAAAAACCGGAAGTACCGAGAAATAAAGCCGGAAAACACAGAGGGACATCGTCCCCCCTACCCTCGAAAGTAGTTAACGGCTAAAAGTGACCATCTACTGCGTCTACAGTAATGGTTGTGAGCGGCCTATCAGCCCGCATACAGCACACCCTGACACCCTGAAGGGCGTCTGCACGTACGTGGCCTAATTGCGGGTTTACGCCGTGCCAGTCACCTGAGTCTTCTCCTGTCTCCAGTCTTTTTGACCCTGTCTTGACATCGGCCCCAGGTAGGAAAGGGGAGAGTGCAACAGATTCAGCGCAAGTTTATTATCATTTTAAGCTAATTCACGCACAAGTCGTCGTCCCTGCTCTCTTTCGCGGAAGCACACGGTAAACATGCTCGGCCACGACGGTAGAACTGACAGTACTTTGTGAATCATTTTCGATCACCAAAGGACGTATGGGTAAGGAGAACCACAGCAGTTTCCACCCTGACAGAGGCTATGTAAAACAGATATTTGCCCTGAAAGAATCCTATAGCAGGGACTGACGATTTCGAGCCAGCCGACAGGACTGCCTTCTGAAAGCTGATGGTAGGCCCTTGAAATTCAAACCTGATCAGGGCAGACGATGAGCGCGTGCGAACAAATGTTGGCGTGATATGAAGGCGTACTTCACCGTCAACGCTGGAGTTCGACTACATTAAGTTTTCTCCCTGATCGCCCTTGAGGATGAAATAAATCCCCTCTTGTCAATGGCTCTCCACGAAAACGAGGACGGCAAGGCATGGCAAAATTGACTGATTGACTATTTCCTGGAGAAAACTTAATCTATTATCGTAAGTTGGACATTCACCAACCAGGTTATGGAGCGTGCTCGTCCCGTTGCGCCTTGGCGCTCAATCTACAGCCATCGCAGGTGGTCACATAGTAACCAGTAATTATGTAGGAAAGAGTACCGATAAAGGTCGTCCAGACTTGAAGTTTAATAGGGGTATCCGAAGACGGCCAACAAGCCAGAAATGGCCAGTCCAGTCCCCCTTGTCTTTATCGAAACTCCTTTCAAAACATAACCTGTCCTAGACCATCGCGCCGGGAAGACAAAACCACCGCTCGAGAGTTTTCATGCGCTGTCGACGGGCCACATCTGGAGGAAATAAAAATCGCGCTGGACGTGTTTTGTGGACACTTAAAACGCCTGTAGGCCTACCGCAGGGTTCCGCAGAAAACAAGGATTCAAGTACATGGGAGTGAATGTTACGCATCAGTCTGGGGTGAAAGACGGACAAACAGGAACTGAATGGATGCGTGTTTACTGTGTATCGTACTATGGCAGCGTTTGACGTGTGGGTGCTAACGATAATTTGGGCAGTTGATCACCTCGTGACTGGGTAAGTCAAGCTGGTCAAGATATATACTTCAGTGGGTCATTGAAAAACTGGCACGTGCTTGCATCCAGACACAAAAGCAGGCTATGCTCGGCATATAGTGCACCCCTACGCTCCACAATTGAGACATGCGGAATCGGGCAGGACCTTTCTACTAATCCTCGCACTCTGTAAAATAGCCCTGGACGAAATCTATCCGTCTTCGGATCTTCTGGGTCGACTAGACAGAATTACGATATCGTCAAACTGGTGCTCAAAATAATGCTGCAAGGTGCTTTCATCGGTCTAAGTATAACTTTGAGAATCTAAATCTACCCGGTCATTAGTTTGTCATATCGTTAACGATACCGTTTCATCAATGTACATGGTACCAGGTCTAATTCCTCACCTGCCTAGGTGGAAACAACTTACACGACTTCGCCAAGTGTATCTTTTTTTCGCTTTTTGAAGACGAGATTAGTTTCCACATAAACTTTGAGGGGCGTGAACTAAAAGACAGCCTCAGTCAGTCGGAGATTTATAAAGTCATACTGGGTAAGTACGCAATTCAGTGTCCCATTGTCTACAAATGTAGATGTTTTCGCTGCTTGGAATAGTAATAGCGCTGCGAGGCTATCTGATCTAGAGTTTGCATTCACGAAGCGACTCAAAAAGTCATTAGACAATTGCGTTCAACGGATTTAGAGGAACAACTAGGACTAACCGGACAGTTTAGTTAACTTCAAGTTTCACAAGATGAATCCCGTCCTACAGAAAACAATTTCGGATGTTCGACAGGAGATCGTCCTTCATCCTCGCAAGCGCCACCAGTGTATTAGATTTTTAAATTATTTAATTCAATACGTTTTTTCCAATCAACCTGTCTTCAAAGCAATTGACCGCTGTTGGCATAGTCGAGTCAATATGGTTGTTCAGCTAACGCGTACAGTAGCGGACTAAGTAGACCGGTAATGGGATGGCAAAGACATTCGTTTACTTGACCCAATACACATACTTAAGTATGTGTATTGGGTCAAGTAAACGAATGTGCAGCGCCTAACGTCTCGCTATCGCCGTTTCCGGAGTATCTCGAAAAACAGATTCCTACTCCATATCTGGACAGTGGACCAAAACGATATCCACTCGATATAAATATCTCGGAAAACACTATTTGCAGCGGTCACAGTGGCCGTACTCTAGTTCCGTTACGGACGATTTCGCCAAGGCCTATGGGCCGGAGGCGGGAGAAAACGACTGCAAATGCAACACTTGGCATAATTAATCAAAACTCAGATCTGTCCTGTATGCATCCCCCCACGGCAACTTATAGAATGCATACAAGCGGGTGTTGGATACTCACACTCTGCTCCTATTAGAAATCCACTTCGCGGCTGCGCGGTATCGGGCTGCAAATTAAACGCAACTGGAAAACCAAAAACGTAAGGCAGGCCAGGTAATTTAAACAATACCAATGTAAAGGTAGAAATAAGATAAGAAAGCAAACAAAAGTCGTCACTCACGGTTCAGAACGAACAAGCAACGCAGTAAACGCAAGCAGAAAATGAAAAATCAACCGCAAAGGCGAACCGCAAGGCCTGAAGACTTCTCCGGCCGCGACAACTGGTACTACTGACGTCTAGGACTGAGTAGGCAGCACGGATGGCCTTCTTTGTGTGAACGTGAGGTCTACGTGCTCAAAATCGCGGCAATTGGCATTACTTCTGCCAAAGTCGTTACTGGCAGCTTTCTATTATTAGCAGTTATTATAGTAGCCCTTACGCGTGATCACAGTCAGATGGCATCACTGACTATATTCGCACAAATAGTCAACATAGTAGCCCATATGCGTGACCATGTTCAATCCGATGACAAAACTCGATACTGACAGCTTTATATTATTAGTAGTCACCATTGTAGCCCTTTCGCGTGGCCGCAGTCAGATGGCATTATTGACTACACCTCGCAAGATTTTCCGAGTTAACGGCTGGGAGATAAAGACTGGCCGTAGTGTTTTCGAAATGATCTGCCCAATACCCATTATCTGACTACGTTCCCATTTGGTTAAAAACACTTCCAGATGAAGTGAGAAATAGTGTAACGTCTTTATTTGTAGAAAAATAAACAATGTACAAACTGGCTTCGAGGAGTGCATCACGCGATTCCGACGAGTACGAGAAGGCTTCCTGTTTCGGGCGATCCGCATTACGGTTAGCTATAAGAAGTAGAGATTAAGATGTACGCTTTAGAGGATTAAACCAACCAACCTGTCGTCGGGCTTTCATTCCTTTCTTGATAGTTTTTTTCAACTAAAGGAACTACCTGTCGACATGCAGTGACAATTTACAAAACGTATTCTTACCTCAGCTGATGACCTTGGCACCTTGAATGTTGGCTCGCCATTGGCAGGGGCAATGCATTGTCGTGCTATGCGACTGTTGGTAAGGTGTGGCAGAGTCTGTTGGCCACAACTTACGCAAGGGTTACATAAGGGTTACTGTTGGGAGTGCCTACACTCCCAAAAACAAGAGCAGACCAATCAATGGAGATCACGTGCGTTTGCTCTCTCTCTACCGCACTGTCATCTCAATCAGGCGCTTTCCCATTGGCTGCTCCCC